TGGCAGGATATTCTGCTCTTCCTCCAGACAAGCCAGAAATGATGTATTTTGCAAAGAGAGTTCATACGTTCTTTACCTTGTAGCAAACATCGCTCTCAGGGAAGAGAAGGTAGCAGCATCTTCTTTCAGAGCCTTCAGCTCATTGCGCAGCTTCATCATAGTCTCTGTAACCATAGCTTTCTCATTTTCGTATTTGCTTTTTAAGTTGGCAAGGGCGACCTCTGCAGTCTATTGTTTACCAAGAAGAACAGAAATGTACTTGTTAATGAAACCCTTCACAAAGTGGTTGTCTAAGAGATTTCTCATCACCATTCACATAATGAAACATTTACTTGGCACTGGAACGTTAAGTTTCTGGTCAACTTCTCTTGCACAGTTTAAGTAAAATTGCATTTTTGAGCATTGGAAACAGATCCGACACAGGATTCCCATTCTCACTTACCAAGCAAATCACAGCAGCATCTAGGAAGCTGCAGAATACACATTTAGTGACACTTTTCTCCAACTATTCAAATAAATGCTACATAATTCAAGGCAAAACAAAGTCTATTTACACATATTCACCAATAACTTGTACAGCTCTAACCTTCAAAGAGCATTTCGCATACCATATATTTCGGAAGACCTTTATATGAAAATATGTACAAAAAAATTATTTCTTAAACATTATCCTTATTTTTCTTTCTTTTCTTGAGACACTTTCAACTTGCGTTACCTTCAGAGGAGAAATCACGAAGCATGCCACATGCCGTTCTCATGACAGTGATTTAATCTACTGCACTGCTAATGTGTAGCAAGTGGCATAGTCCAACCCTCAAGACTAATCTTACCTTTGCCTCCTACTCTCCTTTGACCATGTTCTTTTATGTTACCCTCATCTTGAAAGGCTTTATTTTGTATGCATTTTGAGAGAGAAGAGGACATAAATTTAAGAATTATTTTAAGGGTAATAATCAGAATTCTTTCAAGTAGAAAATAATTATTACCTCTTCATTTTAGGTTTTCCTGCATTCAATGTAATTTAGAGAGCCACTCAAATTATGTTGTATTAAACTCAAATAAAAACTTAAGTGAATGTGACAAGCAAAAACCAAAGCCCTGGCACTCAGCTTCACAGCAGCACACTTGGGTGCCTCTAATGAAACTGCCTTCCTCTTCTCAGCCTTGTAACCAATAGATACCAGCAACAAAAGTCCCACCGAGTGCAGGGAATGGCAGTATGCCCTCAAAGATCAATTCTCTTGCAGTCATGACCTAGTTCCCCAAGACTATAACTTTTACTCCTCTAACACCCTGCTCACCTGTTTGCTGGCCTTCAGCACAGTCCTCAGAGTTGCTATCTGTTCTCTCTTGGTGCTTAGCAGGGACTTGAGCTTCAGGATTTCTTCCATGAGCGCTTCCTTGTCCTTGTCCACTGGCCCAAGTTCTTGAGTGGCAACACGCTGTCTGGACAGCTCGGTTGTTCTGTCCACAGCAGCTTGCAGGTGTTTGATCTGATCCCGGATTATAGCAATCAAGTTATAAATGTTCATTGGCTCCTTCCGAGGATCTGACACAGGAGATGGCAGAGAGGACACTGGAGATGGGCTGGTGTCACCGCTTCCACTCTCTGCCTTTCCTAGTTCTATAGATAACAGCCCTTTAGAAAGAAGAATAGGAGACCTTCTTCCCTTGGTCTCTGGACTGCTGCGTCCTCCTTTACCTTCCTTGTAGTAATCCAGCATCACTCTGTTTGGAGTTTCGTTGTTGCACATGCAGACATGGTGGTATAAATTGGCCAATTCTTCACTGAAGGTGACTAGTTCATCTTGGGCTACACTGAGGCTTCCCTGTGTTTCTCCAGCAACATCACTGACTTTCTTCAGCTCCTTCTCCAGTCTGACCACCTGTTCTCTATCATGCCTACTGGATTTTTCTAACGAGGTGATCTTTTCAGTGAGAGCTTGGCTGTCAGTCTCATATCTGCTCTTCTCCTCCTCATACTTAGACTCACACTCTTTGTATTTGGCCTTAAGGTTTTTAAGTTCTTCTTTCAGGTCAGTAATCTCTGCCACAGCCACTTTGTATTTGCACTCTAGGATCTCTGGCCCATTGATGTCAACTTCATAATAATCTCCATCTTCATGGCTGTCTCGGTCCTTCTCATTGTCAAGGGCAGACTGACGTTCCTTGCTGATCTGGAGCTTCTTCATTGCATTCAGGTTTTCTGTGAGCCTGCCAACTTTCTCATGCTGCTCTGAGAGGGCTCCGCGCGTATTTTCCAGCTGCTTCTGAGATTCCTGTAGCGTAGTTAACAAGTTTACCTTTTCTCTTTCCATCTGAAATGCATGAAAACAGACATCTACGTAAAGGAAACAGCATCACACAAATGGCTCTATTTTATTGCAAGAGAAAAGTTAGCCACAGCCAAAAATCCATATGGTTTCAGAAATCTAGTCACTTGCACGTTATGGAAAAGGCTATTTCTTTTACTCCAAAACCATCTCAAGCACAGTGTTCTTCCCCAAATCTTTGTAATTCCATTCCAAAATGCACATTTTTAGGCATTTCTTCCATGGTTGGCAGCCTCATCAAAAAAACATCCTTTCAACAGAGGATGAGCTAAAAATTTACTGTTATCTTATAAATTGTGAAGTAAATTTTAAAAAGCATGGAGCTACTCAAAAGTGGAAGCTTCAAGTTTCATTAACAGATATTCTAATTGAGATTAAAGAAAAATTATCTGACAGATTAGGATATTACAAAAATGAAAAACTTCCAGAATACTAAAACTTTTAAAGTTCCTCCTCTAAAAGTTTTCGTTTGGGAAAAAAAAATCTACAAAAAACTTCCATCATTTTTCCACAAGGGCTTTATCTTATAAAACTAATTTCATTAATTAATAACAATTTTAAGAGATTTCTAAGCAACACAAATATCTGCCTTCCTTCAAACGTTCCAACCTCTCAATAGCACGTATGTAACACAGAAATGCTTGGCACCGATTAAGAATACATGTTCTTAGAACTAACTACAGAAACTAGATATTATGTATTTACAGTATATTTTCTCAGACAAGCACATGTAGGAATAGGCTTAATTTCATCCAGTAGGTGGTTCAACATATAGTTTGTATTTATATAAAGCACAACACAACAGGACTCTTCATTCTGTACAAGGTCTTCCACAGGTGTACAAAAATCCTTTTTTGAAGATGAAGATGTCTGGAATAATTAGCATTTTCCAGAGAAAACACTCCACCCACTGGTTATGTTTCTTGCTGCTTGTGACATAATTAAGACGACACAGAATGTACTGCAGAGAAAATGCCTTCTGACATTCCTCCAAATATAGGATACTTCTAGCTTCTTTGGATAAGGCTATAGATTTCCACTGACAAGCATTTAACAGCTAAAAAAACCCAGAGATTTTACAAATATAGTTCATACTGCACGGTGGCCACATAAGATACTGAGAAGACTGAAGTTCATTTTGAATAAACTCTAGCTACTACTTAGAAGTACATCATTATTTCAGAAACACATTTACCTGTACAAGCTGTTGTTTCAGTTTCTGGATTTCAGAAATATTTAATTCGCTCAAAAGATCTGAAACCAGACTTGGAGCTGGAGGGAAACTTTCATTTTTCTTGGGGGTTGATGTATTATTCTTGCCATTGCTAAGTTTGCTGAGGCAGTTTTGTTCAAATCCATTCATGATTTCATCATTATTGGGCTCTGTGGCTTCATCGCTGAATTTCAGTCCATCCAAAGAGATGTTCAGGTGGCTGTTGTACATGGAGTCATTGATGTTCATGTAGTGCGAGAGCTCCTTGCGAAGGTTGTTTTTCTGCTCACGCTCCGTTTTCAGCGTCTCTAAGGCCTCCTCAAGCTGGCGTTCAGAGATCTCCTTCAGCCGTATAGCATCTTCCAGCTGGCTATTGAGAAATTCTGTTTCCTCTTCAAGCCTTTTGATTTCATGTTTCAGGCCTTCAAACTCCACCTGGAGATATATAAAGGGGAGAAAATTTCTAATAGAAACATCTGCCTGCAAGGCACCAAGTAATTTTACTTCTGTATGTTTTATTTCACTGAATATGGTGAGAAGGGAATAGGAGAGTCTAGTTTCTGTACCATGACTATAAACACTGCCTGCTTAATCTACCTTCAGAGATACCATGGAATAAGATTTCTCAGCAAACCGTTAAATGGGCTGATCTACTCCAGCTTAATCAAAATAGTTGTGAGATGCAGCGTGCGATACAGAGGCATCACAAAACAGGCTTCCCTAGCACATTATGCAAACTCTTTCTGTGTTTGATTAACAAATTCCCTGACCAACCTTCCCACAAATTCAGTCTCAGCATTTTCAAAACCCAGGATCCCAAAGCTATGCATTCGATTCACTACTAGACTGCTGTCAGAATACGCCAGGGGCCTTAGAACTGTTGGGACGCACCTGGAGATCAAACTCTGCTTTTACACATTCAAAACAAAACATGTTATTACTTCTGTAGTCACCATTTCAGCACATCTTGAAAGGGCTACAAATCAGATTCATGGTGCTGCAACATGAAATCTGAATACACGCTATAAATTTCGTAACCTGTAAAATTGCCCTTTTTACCCCCTGTACACTGAAATTATAAACACTGACAATTAGTGCAGGGTGGGGGGGAGGAGAAAGGCTTAAAGAAAACTTTCTTGCCAACTATTACAGGAATTTTAGATGTCAGTATACACCAGTCTGGCAGTACTGAACCACACCTAATTTTAAAATCAGGAACCAATCATGTTAAATCAGATTTGCAAGTTATAGCCTGGGAAAACTTGACTGCTTCTTCTATTTATCTCAGTGAGTTTATTGATAGTTAATAACATTTATCAAGCAGAATTATGATAAGGTCCAAAAATAAAATAATCCATTTTAAAAACAAAATTAGCTCTTGGTTCTAAATATGACCACTGAGGCCAAATATTTACACTTACAACATATTTTCAAAGGATCCAGCACGCAAAAACAGTAGTCAATAATTGCTGACAACTGAAGAAAGAACATCTGAGGTGAAATTTGGCTCTGTCTAGAACAGCAGCATTCCTGAATATAGTTAAGAGCATGAACATACAGTTGGGAACTTTCACCCACACCTCCCAAGACAGTGCATGAGCAGGGGGAAAGAAAGGGGGCAGGGAACAAAAATGAGAAGTAGCTAACTACATAGATCAGAATTTACCAGATCACTACCTCTTCCACGTAGAGGGTAACAGCCCCTTCATCCCTACCACATGATGTCAGGGCAGCCAAAGCACCATAATTAGATGAGATATATGGTCCAACCTGGAACCCTCTTTTGCACAGTGAGGCACACTGTGGCCAAAGCAATAAACATTGACATGGAGAGACATGAAACATCTCGCTTAGTAGGGCAGCTCTATTCAGACCACTGAGAAGGAGATTGATTAAGAAAGAGCAAATCCTAATAAGCTTCTGCTATATGCTCACTGTAACAGATGGAAGTAAAACTCCTGTTTTCAAGAGGTTTTTATTTCAGGAATATTACTCTAATTTCTCAGCTGAACATCGAATGGCATCATACAATGAGACTGGCAAGGGACTTGAGAAGAAAAATAGCTAGACCTTTGTTGATAGATGAATGTAAGTGAATCAAGCCAAATGCCATGTCTAATCTAATTATCTCTGCAAATAACAACTCAGGGAAATTTTTGAGTTGTTCCAAAAATGCAGTTTTCTTTTCTAAGACTTTGAAGAGAGCTGGAACTGCGCAATTAAATGCGACTTTTCAGATGTCTAGTCACACAGGTCTGACAGCACAAAGCAGCTACAACAGCGGTCCATGTTTTATGAAAGCAGCTAGAAGAGAAGAACAACACAGAACTGGAGAGATAACATAAGCACAAAGTGGCAATAAATATTGAGAATTACACCAGTTACAGACACTGTAGAAGAGGGAAGATGGTGAGTATTGCAAAGAGATCAAAAAAACTAATGTAGTAAAAAGACTAAACCAAAAACAAAGCAGAGTGGTAGAGATTCCGCTTTCAACAAAGAGTAAGTCGGGAAAGGAAGGACTTGAGGTCAAAGCAGAAGCAAAAAAGTTTCATGACTCCGCAGAAACACAGTCAGAAAAGAGTTAGACATTAAGGGGACAACTCTTTGTACTAAAATATGGAGTTTCTAGTCTCAACAGTAGTGTGTGTATATATATACATACATATACTTTTTTTTTTAACTGAGGAAAAATTCAGAAAGATGGTGAATTGATCGGTGCTACCACAGTCACACTCACTGTTTTGAAACACTTGCCTGATTTTGCTTTAGGACAGACACTTGCTTCTGGAGGCAGATGTTCTCTTCTTCAAGCTCAGTGTAGTCTTGCAACAAACGCGCTTCTCTAAATTTATATTCCTTGATATCATCTCGCAGACGGGCCCTTTGGATCTCCACGTTCTGATTGACCTAGAAAAACAAACAAATCAGAAACAATACTTGGTCAGCTACAGTTACAATTTAATTTCAAAACTTCATCTTTCTTTATATGCACTAATTGATTAGATTCTATTCAAACAGAAACTTTTTTTTTTTGGCTGAAATTAAATTACAGAAACCCAAGTCATTTACACAGCAGCTAAATTGTTTTCTTGCTTCTTTTACAAATTCTCACCCCACCCTTGACTCAAAGCAAAGTTAATGGGCAAGTGGGTAATGCAGCACTCACACCCAAGTTGTCTCCCTAGCTGTTAGCAACAAAGCCAAATTTCCCATATTGGGAGTCAGATACCTGAATCCATTAACGCTTAAGTAAGGTGGTCTTTTCACAAGGGAAAGACGATTCAAATAACCTCAGACATTCATATTTGGATTTGCTTATGCCTTTCAACAGAACTTTTTCTTAGGCCCAAACACTGGCAACAGTGCAGTAAGTTGGGAATACTTGTTAAAGAATCCTCTTGGAGAGGGACACTGAGCTAAAGCTCAAATGAAATCTAAAATCCCACATAGAAAGAGCAATTGTTGCGAGTTTAAAAATATTTCCTCCTCTCAGTACGAGATTTGTGCAAAACCTTGAAAAATACACTTTTTAAATGTCATTATTATTTTGGGATATACAAGAATGAAAAGCCAGCATACCGCACAGTTTTATTTAGATCATTTGTGAATATACACAGATACTCAAATAACTACTTGAGGTAGTATATACCCAGCTACCTGAACAGCTCACTGTACCTAGCAGTGTATTTTTTCAACAGTAATTTTCCTCACATCATGTCTTTAAACACCCAATTAGAACAAAGTGGAAAAAAGTTCTAGAACATTAGCAAAAACATCTTCAGACGAAAATTAGGCAACACAGTTGTCCATAAAATAGTAGGCAGGCATTTTAGCAGCTGTACCTGTCAAGAGATAGAATGGTTTTCCAAACAGTTCTAGACCTGCTCAAAACAAGAGAGAGCTCAGAGGCAGCCTATTACTTCAGCTATTTAGGTTATGGTATCTTATTTCTGTTTTCATCAATCCAAGAGTAGCCAAGACTTCATCCTCTGATACACAAACTCTGATTCTCTTAGCATTCTCTACATCTGGTTGGAAACAAGAATATCAGCAATGATACGTGCAAATGAATAAAATAAGGTCTGCATCTTCTTGCAAGCGTGTAACAGGAATACACAGGAATAGTACAATACAGCTATCAACAGGCACATACAGAAACGCTGAGAAATAAAGAAAGTGTGTTTATGGCAACAACGTATGCCAAGACTTGAACCTAGCATGTTCGGAACACAAAGAACCACCTGCAACTACAAGACCAGTAAATTGAAAGTACAGCTCTGTCATACGTCAGGTTGAGATTAAACTATCTAACTTGCCTCCTTACTTGTAGCAGTAAAGGAAAAAGCACAATTTCCAAACACATTGAGAAGCTAAAATAAATATTAATTGCTAAAAGCACATGCTATAGTACAACACAGCAAATGAAAAGTTACTATATGCCATATTCCAGGCATGCATCACATTTCTCCACTCGTTCCCAGAAACCGTTAGTGTTTCTTGACTAAAGAAATACCGGGTCCAGAGAGTCAGAGTTTTGTGGGATTCTCCCTCCCCTCGCCCCGTATAGGCATTTCTCCTTTGAGGTTACAGCATGTCACTGCAAAACCAAGCCTAGACTAAGACTTGCCTCATGTTTGAGCTGAAAGCCTCCTGACAGGTTCATTAAGCTTCTAGCCAAAATAAGCCAAATTAGGTACGGAGTCTCTATTAAAACCTATACTGCAAGCTCTAGTTTCAAAACCCAAGCTGCATAACTAATTATCCAGTCAATAACACTATGCTTCAACACTCCTTTTGTCCAAGAATCTAAAAGCATTTTTTAAAACATAACTGAAGTTTCAAAACACATTTTTGTATATATCGGTCTATTTTTATAGAAATCCCAGTGCCACTGGGAAAGAAGCACTCCAGGTGACTGGAAGCTACAGGCTGACATGAATTCATGTCATAACTTCCTCTCCTTAATGACTGCAATAGAGACCTCTCACCTTTAGCAGAAGCAGCCTACAGTCAGATAAACCAAACTGTTAAACAGTTAAGATCGCAAAAGGTTCTTGCATCAAACTTGGAGTTTTATACAAACCAGGAGGTCGTTTCTACAATTTGCCCCATTCCCAAATAAATGAAGTTCAGTGGAAGACCTCCCACAAATCTATGGCAATCTTCTCTTATCCTTACTCCCCCAAAACCTGAATAGGTTGCTCTGCTCCTGGTTCCTCCCTTTATGACCTAATCTTTGCAGAGGTCAATGCCTGGAAAAGTCATTGAAGCCACTATTTACCGGAGAAAGAATGGTTTCTGTCCAATCCACTCGGTCTCATTCAGAGCAATGGCAAGACCTCATTACCTAATGTGAAAGTATTGTCGTGCTCTGTCTAGTGTAAGAAAAATTATTCTATTCCAATGCATACAGGAAGACCAGATTTAAAAATAGCTGCCTTGTTTCCTGACCAAGGAAGGAAGATATAACCTAGATTTATTGGCTGCTTAGCAAGCTGTAAACTCAGTTTGCTCTTAGCATTTTTTCGTCAAATAAATGTGCATGCTTGCAGGCTGCAAGGATAAATTGGATCCCGTGCTCTTTCATATAACTAACCAAAATTTTTTTTCTTTTTGAAGGAAGAGAAGCTACTGCCTCCTTCCTCATCAGATTTTTGAGATACATGCACAAAATTCATATTTGTGTATTTAAAGACAAACATACATGCTCTCACAGATGTTGTTTTACACTCCTCAAGAGCTTAGAAAGCTCAAAGATGTGTTTGAAGCAGAACCTTTGTGTGATTTTAGCTTTTTTTTTTTATTGCTTCAGTTATTCAGCTGTGGAGTCTTCGTTCCTCCTCGAGCCTAAGCAACAGTTGAGGATAGGGGAGAAGAGGGAGCTGGAAGGCAAGGGCAAACCTGACAGGGATCTTAGTTATATGAAGTTACATTTCCACTCAAAGCAAATCACATTGCACTTACAAAATATCATTCCCACTATGCAAAGAATCGGTGGCCATGAGATCTTACTGAGCATTCATCTGCTAACAAAACCTCCTCAACTCCTTCACCTGGAGAATATTCCCCACTACAGAGAAGCCTCCCATCTATCCCGTCCAGAAGACGGATCACACAGACCATGTCCTAAAGTGATTTCACTCTGCCTAAAGACCACACATTGATACTGCTGCTAGAAAGCTTATCTTTGCCATTTTCTTCCTCTCAGTTTTGCCTCAGGAGAGTTATGCAAGGGGCCCCGTCTTCAGATCCCCACCATCTCTACAAGAGATAGCAGAGATTTCCTCAGCTGCAAATGAAAGTGTGGTTTGAACTGGCCTTATTTGCATATCAGAACACAACTGTTTTCCTTCATCATTGCCAAACACCTCCTCCTGAGCACCTAGTTTTCTAGTACATGCTTACATACAAAGATACATACAATTTGACCTTGAGAATTAAAATTGAGACGTCTCAGATAGTTGATTCCCTGCTTTGTTTTGGGCCCTGCACAGCTTGGCTGGAGTTCAGCCTCCAGGTTACCAACCATAACAAAAGCAGAACCCAATAGATGCATCCTACTAAAGCCTCAGATGAATCTTCTTACAGAAAGAACCTGCTACACCTCAGCCTCAAAGAAGAAAAGGAAGAGAGCAAGAAAAAAGATCCTTAGGAGATCTATGAAACTAGGAGCTGATCATTTACATGCAGACAAGTTGCAAACTAGCCTGGCTGCTTACAGAAGAAATCTCTGTCCGTCTATCTTAGTGAGACCTTCCCTTCTTGTTGCCATTCAAGAGATCATTAACTAGCCCTGTGTTGAAATAACTCTTCACAAGATAAAAGTGAATTGTAAGTCACAACACCTTCCTCCTATTCTCCAATCTCAGCTAGCAGCACACCAATCTCTGCCTATAAAGGCAAAATCCCTCCCTCCTCAAGAGCAAAGAGAAAAATTACTTTAAAAAGTAAAGGTTTGTTCGTGCTCCTGGGAGCGGAGGGCTGTTATCAAGACATAACAGAATTCATCTAACTCACAGGCAATTTTTAAAAATGCCAAACTACATAAGCATCCTAATTAGCAAAAACAGTTTAACTCCAAAAGGTAGGTGACACCGAAATACAACACGACAATTTATTTAGACTGCTTTCTCTCAAAGAAGTACACTTCAAAAAACCCTGCAACAATGTAGTCCTAATGGTCAAAGTCTGGACAACGGTTTCCAGATCTGCCTTATTCCAGAAGTACTGTCCACGATGAGAAAGCTCCTTAATTCTCCAATAAATATCTAGTGGCCCACTGTATTTCTCCAAGCTATTTGCTCTCCAGTTAAACACAGGCTGATCTTACAGATAAAGCTTTATCACTAGCACATTCTCTTTTACATTGTACTTCATCAGCTCATAAGGTCACAGGTCAGATTCAAGTTCCTTGTTGGGCTATGCATATTTGGAGCAAATTTTACATGGCGTTATTGTAGAGTCACAACATTTATTTTGCCCAAATCTATTATTAATTCTAGTATTACAGTTAGTGCTTCATGCAATAAATATTTCTAGAAATTATCATTCCATACCATACATACATTGTGTTCTTCATGGAAAGGGCACACAAAAAGGATGCAAACTCTTTAGGAGACACAGTGTAGCTGCAAGGGATGGCAACTAACATGTTCTCCTGCTGTAGGGGGGTGGATGGGTGTGTGCAGGGGGTGTGGAAGAAATCAATAAAACAGCATCTCTCAGACATTTTAATAAATACCAGCATGAAAACTGGGAATACTAATCCTTGGGCATTTCTGCATCGTAGTGTCTTCTTCAGCACTTTTTTGAAGGAGGCACTTTGAACATTTTGAATTTTGCCTCTATTTCTGCAGCTGCCATTCCAGAAAAACATCCTCATGGTTAGATATCCCACCTACATGAAA